CAAGGTCTTGCTATGTAGTCCAGGCTGGTCTTGAACTCCTGCCCTCAAGCAATCCTTCTGCCTTGGCCTCCCAAAAGTGCTGAGATTACAGTGTGTTAGTGACCACACTGACTCTTTTAAATTTCTTTTTAGCACTTGCCACTATTTGAAATGAATTAATTTGCTTACTTGTTTTCAGGTTTATCATCTGTTTCTCTACACTGCAATGTAAAGTCCCTGAGGGCAGGGGCCTTGTTGGTAGACCTTGGATTATGATTTATGAATGGAGTCTCTGCCTTTCCTGATATTTGAAGACCCTCCCTGCCCCAAGGGTAAGCTGGATGGCACCCCTCTTGTCTGGGCCTTTGTTGGCTTCCCCAGTGGGTTGTGAAGGCCCTGAAGACACAGATGGGGGCTTAGTCATCTTCATATCCCAACACCCAGCTCAGTGCAGGGTGTTCCAAGAATGTGTGTTGGGTGAATGAATGAAGTTTGGACACATGCCCCATTACCCTCCACACAGAAGCATGCATGATGTGGCTTGAAGGACAGCAGAGATTTTATGGGACAAATCAGCGTGCTTCAGCAACTGAGCATGGACATGTGATACCGACCTTCCACTCAGAGAAGCTGTACTGTGTGTCACCAGTATTGGATGGAGAGTGTCTGTTTCTGTGCAGTCTTACTAAGCATTTCTGTTTTAAAAAAATCTCTGTCAATCTAATGAGGGAAAAAAGCCTGTTAATATATTTTAATGAGCACTTGTTTGATTGCTAGTGAGGCTGCCCATTTGTTTGGCCCCCTCCCTGGCAGGCTGTGCTCTCTGGAGACCCTTAGAAAGGAACTGGCTGCTGGCTGGCCAAAGGGGCCACCTGTGCATCATCAATCCACAAAAAGGGCCTCCTGGGAAGTGCTGTGACTCCCAGGGCCACCACCCTGAGCAGAGGCCTCTCCCCTTCTTTACCTGTCGCTGCTTGATGATCTCACTGCTCCTGGCTTGGGGCCTCCTTGGCTTTCTACTAACCGCTTCCGGGGTTTTGATTTAGCCTTTGGTACCCCTTCTGACCTGGGTCCACCTTCATCTGAGAGGCCTGTATTGCAGGGGAAAATCATTGGTCAGAAGGTCACCATCACAGGGCTGCCATGAAAACAGAAAATTCTTTTTTTTTTTCTTTGTTGGGAATTGGTGTATTATTGTGCTGTATTTGAGAAGAAAGATGCTAGAATATGTATCTGACTATAAATGACTGGTTTTCTTGTTGGTGGAAGGTTTTTCTTTTCTGATTATATAGTATACATGTATTGCAACAAAAATAAAAAGACTCAAAAAGAGTCTAATGAGATAATATCTTCTACAGTTCTATCGCTGGTAACCTGTAATTGTCCAACTATAGGGTTCTGTTTCTCAGAAGCATAGTAGTTTGTGAAACGGTGGCTGGCAGATCAACTTTTATATGAAACATGGGTTAAAAATAGCAAAACACATATTTTAAAAACAGAGTGGAAGGCACCAACTTTCAAAATCAGGCAACTCTGTCAGCGTCAGAGCCTACTCTGTCCAGTGGCCCAAATCCCTTCCTCCAGTTAGCTGCTGAGGGTCTGGGTATGTCCAGGACAACTGTCCATGCAGTTTTATGCTGTACACATCCCAAACCAAATTTCAAGTGAGTTTTTTCTGGTTTGACATGTTTCCTCATTTTGTTTCCATAAACCTGAGCAAAAGGCTTTACAACAGCCTAGCCTTTTCGCAATGATCGGGACTTAACATTTCTCTCATCTGGCCTACCAGCTACATGCTGGTGAGAAGGGCCATCTCTACTCTCTCCACAGACATGCCCCACCATCTAGGGTCTGTGAGAAGTAATGAGTGAGCTGAACAGTGTGTAAAAACATGGTGAATTTCCACTTTGGGATATACCAATATAAAATGTTATCTGAGAATGGTGGGATATAAATACTTTTGGCCAATATTCTAGGAAATCATACATATAGAGGTACTTTTATTATAATAAATTCTATCATACTAGCCATACCATTTTATAAACTGCCCATTTTCCCCCTTAACATGGTTTGGGCAGCTTTCTACAACAATCAGTACATATCAAAACATCATTATTGGTGGGCACACTATATGGCATTCTTTGATGTAAATATACTAGAACTTATTTATACATCCCTTCTTAAAGGGAAATTTTCCTTTTAAATTCATTGTTTTGAGGACAATTAATAGCCAAGTCTAAAACCAGTCAGTCTGTTTACTGACAGTGGAAACACAAGAATCAAGAGCTATTACCCAGTAATTCCCTGCGGGTTCTGCTGGCTATTTCTTTGATCTCCATGCGAGATAGGGACAAGAAATGCATGACAGGAATCACAGCAAGGCCCACACTGATGGGAGTGGGTGGGGTGATGACCTTGGAGACTAGGGGTGACTTCAGAAGTCGCTCGATACTTCTACCAACGAGGTTTCTAAGTGGAATCTTGTACAGATTTTTTGACTGAATTTCACCTGAAATATGATTTTGAAAAGAACACCAGAACTTTAAGAAAAAGTTCATATTATTTACAAAATATTAATTTCTTGTTCCTTAACACAGTTATCATGAAGTCATGAATGAAGACTTCACGTCACATGCCGACCTCCCAATGTCCCACTGGAGGGCTGGCCAGGGGCACTAATGTGAGGTGCCTGATGGCTTTTGCATTTTCTAGGAGCACCATTTTCATGTGTAGATTAGATGACATGCACGAACTACTGGTTATAAAGCCTGCACAGGAAAAAAAAAAAGACTAAGCAAGAAAAGCAAAAAGGTGTCCTGCTTGGGGAACTAACTCTGTGCTTTATCTTAATAGTGAGCAATAAAGACAACTGATGTGGTAAGACGTTATGAAAAGTGCTGTGTTCACAGCAATACAGTAACCACTGCAAAGGCCTCTGGAATTCATGGGCAAAGCAGGACAGAGGGAAGGACTGAGTGTGCTGAAGAATGTCTAGGCTTTGTGACTATATACTTGTAGCTATAAAAACCCAGTATTAAGCCTGAAGGAAAAATAACTGCTGTTGCAAGTTGGAAACACTATATCTTTTAACCTCCTTCTCCCAATTGAAAGAATTTTTTTTTATAATGGGATCTGTTATTGTTGTTATCACAAGGTTTCTAGTTTTCATTATTTTTATTTTTATTTTTGAGTCAAGGTCTCACTTTGTCGCCCATGCTGGAGTGCAGTGATACCATCACGGCTCACCACAGCCTTCACCTGCTGGATCCAAGTGATTCTTCTCGAGTGACTGGACTACGGGCATATGCCACCATGCCCAACTATTTTTTTCTTTTTTCTTTTTTGTGGAGACAGGGTCTCACTATGTTGCCTAGGCTGGTCTCAAACTATTGGGCTCAAGCAATCCTCCCATCTTGGCCTCTCAAAGTACTGGAATTATAGACGTGGGCCACTGTGCCCAGCCTGGTTATCACAAGGTCTCTTAAGAACGTAACCAGTACATTCAGATCACAAGTTTTGTTGTTGTTTGTTTGTTTTCATGGCTGTAAGTCATAACTTCTTTAGGCAGTAATCACATGTAGATATTTGACAATAAACTAGGGAAGTCAGAATAGATGAAAATATTAATAAAGTAATAAAACTTTGACTTTACCTTCCCCCAGGGAAGAAGGAAATACTGGAGTGTCTCGGCCTGGGGGTGTTTGTGGAGAATTGTGAGCACTAGTCCCCTTGGAGCTGCCTCCAGATGAGACCTCATTCACAGCTGCAGTTGCTGTGAAGTATATATCGGACTAGAAAGAAAGAGAAAGCATTACTGAGTTGCCTGGTATTCTTAGCCTTGTATTCACTGGCCCTCCTGCCATCACTGCAAAGCCTCCAACTGGTTCCCAGGTTCAGCTGCAACATCCTTGGAGCATGCAGGGCAGGACTGAATGTCTGGGGCAGGAGTGGAGGCTTCCAGAGGAAAGCCTGGTACAGCTAGTTACACTTCTCCTGAGTATTGGGTTCCCCACTAAAGTACTTTTTGTTATGTATTTGTTGATCCATGATAGAAAAACAGTCAATGTTCCACACATCTGCAAACACAACACACACTTCCCAAAAAATAATCTCTGGCCGCTGGAGTGTGAGAACTGAAAAAAATCTTAGGGATTCAGTCAGGCTTGTGCAGCAGTTGGGGAAATGGGTTATCTGTTCACTGACTCACAAGCATTCCTGCACACTGATACGTGCTGACTTTGTGATAACAGCAGTGGTGTGCTGGATGTGACATAGGGACCAATTTTCAGGAATTTTTGCAAGCTGGTTGTTATTATTAAAAATTAAATGATGCAAACCTAAATAAAAACAAAGGTCCTAAACACCAAAATTCAACCACAGTTATTTGGCTATAATTACTATCGCCTCTGCTCGAGGTACTGACATCAACAGTGTCAGCGTCTGCCCACTGCATGACTACACACCTCTCCCTAACTGCACCTGGAGTGGCATCACCCTGGAAACTTGAAATCATTCATGGTTAGACAATTTACACCACAGAAATTGGCGATTACTACCAATTAGAGTTCAATTTGTTCTCTAGTTGATTGTCTACATGTAAAGTGATGAAGAAAAATATTAGTAATGAAGATGAAACTTAGAGTGCTTCTAGTCTAGCTATAGAAGCTGAAAGAAGTTTTGTTTATTAGCCATGACTTGTATGAGGATGAGAAATAGTTTAATAGTAGATCACATATCAGATTTAATGACAATAAACTCACTGGGGAAAGAATAAATGGATTGAGATATAATTCCAACTGTAAAATCATGGTTAAATTACAACTGCAGTTGAATGTTCTTTTTCTTTTTTGAGTTGGAGTCTCACTCTGTCGCCCAGACTGGAGTGCAGTGACCACTACCATCCACCGCAGCCTCGACCTGCTGGGCTCCGGTGATCCTTCTGCCCCAGCCTTCCAAGTAGCGGAAACTGCAGGGGAGCACTACCACACACAGCCAATTTTTTTTTTAATTTATTGTAGAGATGAGGTCTCGCCAAGTTGTCCAGGCGGGTCTCGAACCCATGGGCTCAGGCAATCCACTCACCTCAGCCTCCCAAAGCGTGGGATTAGAGGCTGAGCCACTGAGCCCGACTGAATGTTCTTTGCAACAAAAGTTCAGCAAAAATTAACAAAAGCATCTTGTGAGAACCAATCGGTTAAGTGGATTTTACAATAAAGAGCATTTCACATTTTATTATTTATAAATTGTAAGCTATTTACAATCAACAAATATACACACATATCACACACATGCACGCGCGCGCGCACACACACACACACACACACACACACACACACACACACACACAAGCATA